CTGCATCCAACTGGTTTCTTTCCTTTGGGCAAGTCAACTAGCTCCCAAGTATTATTTTTCAACAGGGCATCCATTTCAACTTGCATTGCACCTCTCCACTCCGGGACTGATAAGGCTTCTTGCACTGTTCTCGGAATAGGGACATCAGCAACGGAGGTGAGATAGGATCTATAGGAGGGAGATAGGTGATCATAGGACAAAAACTGGGAGATGCAGTGGGCTGTAGATGTGGTGCAATGCCGTTTTCCTTTACAAAGGGCAATGGGAAGGTCAAGGTCATCTGCAGAGGGTGAGGTAGCAACAATTGAAAGAGTCTCTATGGGCCCTGGGACTGTAATATCTGGACTTGGAGCCACAGAAGAGGTTGGAACTGGCCGGGACTGCTGATGACCGGGATCAACCTGCTTGCATCGCCTGTGATAGGTAAGGGAACAGCCCCAAAAGTATTAACCCTGTCCTCACTACACTCCCCCTGAAGAAAAGGACCCAAATCTCCACGCTCACTACTCTCCCCCTGAGGAGAGACCCGAGAATAGTAGGGTGTCTCCTCAAAGAAAGTGACATCCATGGATACAAACTTATTCCCTGAGACAGGATCATAACAGCAATAACCCTTTTGATTTTGTGCATAACCAAGAAAGATGCATTTGGAGGCCTTGGGTTCAAACTTGGAGTGATGGAGACCGAGAAGCTGAACAAAAGAGGTACAACCAAATGTTTTGAGGGGAATAGTGAACAACTCCTCATTGGGGTATAGAAGGGARAAWKGAGRTTTCATAYCAAGAACCCGGGAAGGAATCCGATTAATAAGATATACCGCCGTAAGGATAGCATCACCCCAGAAGCGAATAGRGACATTGGAGGTAAACATAATACTTCTAGCCACCTCCAAGATGTGCCTATTCTTCCTTTCTGCAACCCCATTCTGCTGAGGTGTATGAGGGCAAGTGCTCTGGTGGATAACCCCATGATTAAGGAGGTATRATGCCAATGGCTTAGCAAAGTATTCCTTTGCATTATCAGATCTAAGAACTTTGATCCTGGCATCAAACTGGGTTAGGATCATTCGGTGGAATTTTTGGGTTAGGGCAGGCACCTCATCTCGTGAACACATAAGATAAACCCAAGAAAACCGGGTGTGGTCATCAACAAATAACAAAAAA